TGACAAACTGTAAATTAAAAAGAGACACAGGGATTTAATACAATTCTGTTTAATAAAACAAATCCCATGATAGTTAACAAATTATTGCACTATAAAGTTTAACTTCTAAAGATTGCAGAGGTTTCAACAAAATCCTCAAAAACAAATATTAAATGGTCATATTTTATTTGCTTTTCTATTATAGGGTTTGTTAAATTGAAATAAAAATGATCTTTTATTGAAACAATTGTGTTATTATTTTAAAATATTTTACTAAAGTCAATTGAGTAAATTTACACAGTTTCATCAGTATTTTATTATAAAATATTAATTAAAAATTTTTTATATCAATAATGACTAATCTTTGTTGTTGTATGTTGATTTCCCATCAAGCTTGTTAGTGTATGTGTTGTTTCGTAGTGGTTTATTGTAATGTATGAATAGTACTTTAAATATGACAGTGATTTAATAAACTTCTGTTTAATAAAACAAATCCCATGATAGAGTTCATAAATTATCACATGATAATAATTTCCAAAGATTGCAGAGATTTTGACAAAATCCTTCAAAACAAGACAGAATTTTGACTTTTCCTATTTAACATTTGTTTTATTTTTCTCAATTTAAATAAAAATTATCATATATTAAAACAATTTGTGATATTATTTTCTATATTATTTACCAGATTTACAGTTTCATCAGTTTTATAATAGAATAATAAATTATAATATTTTTATATCAATAATGTTTAATCTTATATATATTTATATATATATATATATATATATATATATATATATATATATATATATATATATATATATATATATATATATATATATATATATATATATATATATATATATATATATATATATATATATATATATTATTTTTTTTTTTTTTTTTTTTTTTTTTCATAAAACCAACAACTAATGAATCTATTTAATGTCTTTTTTACTTATTTGGGTTAAGGTTAGGGTGAGACATTTTCATTTGTCTAATTAATTAGTCTCTTAGTAATATAAATTCCACTTCACTGTTTCAGTTGGACATGATGATGACTTTTAAATAAATGTATTCATTTTTTCTTCTGTCCCCATTTGTTTCCATGTTTATTTAGACTTTCCGAAGCGCAAGAGAGAAGGAAAAACTGTAGACAAATGTCTAGACAGTCGACATGAAGCGCAGTGTGACACGAGCAGCAGAATGTGTGTGTTTAATCCTCGATCTTCAGGAGGTGTGAAAGCGCTGTCTGTCAGAGATGCGCTGTGCTAATGGCTGATCATTAGCTGCTTCAAAAGACGCCGCCTGATGTTTGATGTTTGCAGATGCTGAAATCACTCAATAGGTGAGTTAATCATCCAGACCCGCAATCTGATCAAAGTTAAACATCTTCATCTAGCCGAGGCTTTTCAACTCAGACAATGAAGGATTAAAGGAGGCCGTGCATTAAACATTCTCTGGCAGTAATGCTAAAGTCATTTTCTCCACTGATGCATCAAGAAAACCTTTCTGAAACACTGAGATGAGCTTCCAGATTCAGTCAGCAGGTCACTGAAGCTGATTTCTCTCATGTGTCTTTTTTGCTGTACATTTATAACAATTAGTCAGTGCAGAGGGATTGAAGAATTTAAACTGCTTCTACAGCAAATGTTTTTGACTTTAGGAAGGCTTCTGTGCTACTCAAATATGATCAAATAGATTTGAACTTTTTCCTTTTGGTCTAGAACAGGGGTTCCCAAACTTTTCAGCCTGCCACTCCCAAAAATGACAATGCCAGTGACTCGCAACCACCAATGTCCTCTGAGGTGGTTATAAATGCAGAAACCTTGCATTCAATGGTACACACACACACACACACACACACACCAATAGACCCAAGTCTATTCTTCGATACTTTATTTTAATGTATGTCAGTGCTGTAAATGGGCCAAAAAGTTTAACCTGGTGTTATAAAATCAGTCTGCTGCATCTGATGCTATTGCTGTCTCTTTAATATTATGTAATTAATTACCCATGAGGTTGTAATCCAATAGAACTAGTAACTATAAGCTACTATAGTAACTATATATTATATAATAACTATAAACGACTATTTTTTTTCTTCAGTAAGTTATGGATAAAATATGGTAATTATAATAGCTTAATAAAAATAAATAGATTTTTGCAAATCACCAGGCGACCCATCCCTCCCATCCCCCTCCCCTTCATTGTCCCGCGTCCCCTCGTGATGTCCCGACCCCCACTTTGAGAACCATGCTCTAGAACATAAAACTTAAATATTTATCTGACAAGTCATTCATTTTCCTTCGGCTTGGTTTCTATTTCAGAAGTCACCACAGTGAAATGAATCGCCAACTATTCCAGATTGTTTTAAGTGGATGCCCTTCCAGCTGCAACCCAGTACTGGGAAACACCCATACACTCTCATATTCACACACTTATACACTATGGCCAATTTAGTTTATTCAATTTACCTATAGCGCATGTCTTTGGACAATGCGAGGCAACCGAAGCACCTGGAGGAAACCCACGCCAACACGGAGAGAACATGCAAACTCCACACAAATATGCCAAATGACCCTGCCAGAACTTAAACCAGCAAACTTCTTGTTGTGAGGCAACAGTGCTAACCACTGAACCATCGCACTCCCCTAATATCAAGCCACTGTTGTTCATTTCAAATGTTTTATTTAAAAGACTTGTTTGTTTTGCTTCATTAATGAATCCTTACCAGATTTTCAATCCCAAAAATTTGAATTATAAAGATATGAAATATTTTTTTAAAAATGTCAATAAAAGATGCAGTGTTCAGGCAGTGATTTATTTAGTTAGATTCAACATAAAATGTGCTATTGTAACTTTTACATTTCAAAAATGTCCATTTCAATACATTTAATGTTATTTTACCATTATTTTTCTTTGCATTTAATTTACTTTTTTTAAATTATAATTTTTGTAGACAGAAAAACAAAGTACAGACATACAAACCCATCATGAAAAGATAATCAGCAAAATGTCAAATAAAGCATGTAACGAGAAAATGGTGATATGCAAAACATATATGACCTACAAAAAACACAGCAATGGATGTAGAGAGAAAAAAAACTTAGCACTTATCAGAAATTAAACACTACTACATTTACACCCACATTTTATCAAACTTAGCAGAATTCCCAGAGGTGGTATATCTAATTCTTTTCAAATGTAAAGTGGAGGTGAGTCCAAGAACCCAGTTTGATAAAAGATGCTTAACATTTTTCTTCCAAAAACAAAGACTAACTTTTTTTTTTAGCTATGATCATGCCATACTGAACAGGTAACTACATTTCGTTTAAGAGTCTCAAGAAAATCTGACCAGCCAAAATTTCTGTGTGGAGTTAACATGTTCTCCCCGTGTTGGATTCAGTACTGGGTTGCAGCTGGAAGGGCATTCGCTATGTAAAACATATGCTGGAAAAGTTGGCGGTTCATTCTACTGTGGCAACATCTGAAATAAAGACTAAGGCGAAGAAAAATGAATGAATGAATGAATACTCTTGGCCCAGACATTTAGTTAAAAAAATTATTTATTCAATATTCAATTTTTCTATATTATACCTATAAAAATAACTAACAAAAAGCTAATTAACAATAAATTTAAATCGTATATATTTTAATTATATTTACATAATGTTTTGTACATTAAATTATAATGTAAATTTTATTTAAAATAATTTATTTTAAAAATGTTAATAATGCTTTATTTTTCATGAATATTGTCTATCATTGCACAATAAAATTGCCATTTATATTTTATTTAACATTTTAAACAATTATTCATATTTATTAATTTTTTTATTTATTGTTGTTTTCAACATTTTACAACAATAGTCAAATTGGAAGTATAAACTCTTTTTTAAAATACTACTAATAAAAAAGCTTAACATTTTTAAATGTGATATTTTAATTATATTTACATATTTTTAAATATATTTATTTATAATTTTGTTTTATTTACACTTATTTTAAAATGTCAATGCTTTTTCATGAATTTCATCTTTATTATTGCATAATAAAATTGCTGTATTTATATTTTATTTTATATTTTAAATTATTAAAATTATATAAATAAATGTTAATAATGCTTACTTTTTCATGTAATTTGTCTATCATTCCATAATGTCATTTATATTTTATTTTACGTTTTAAATCATTATGTATTAATTTATTATTGTAATATTGTTATTTCAACATATTACATCAATAGTCAAACTGGAATTGATATAAACTCTTGATATAAATGTTACTAATAAAAAAAACTAAATATAAAATTGTATATATTTCAATTATTATTATTATTATTATTAAATAATTATATATTTAGTAAAATAGTCAAATCCAAATTTTCAATGTTACAAAAAGAAAACTAATGAAAAAAGCTAAATAATAATTCGTTTATAATTAATTTTATTTAAAATAATTTTTTAAACACGTTAATGCATTATTTTTCATGGATTTTTTCTTTATCATTTCATAATCAAATTATGTAAAAATAGTTAATAATTAATATATTTTTGCTTATTTTTATTTTATTTATTCGTCATTTTAACATACCATCATCAATAGTCAAATAGGAAGTCGTAACATGCCCAAAAAAGTTTTTACTTTAAGAATGCATTTAATATGCACAAGGCTTCAATGAAAGATAACACACAAACATGACTATATTTCTCCAGCGTGACTCATCGTCAGCTCTGTTCAGGTGAGCATCTCCAGTCTGCAGGAAGTGCCAAGGCTGCGAACTGATCTGAAGAACCGATCAGCTGAACATCTCAAGCCCAACAATACACGTACATGTTTTTTCAAGTCATGTGTATTCGGGTGGAGATCCCATTAAACTCGCACACGAACCTTTTACAGATGCAAATGGACCTCGAGTGTCCAGAATTCACACCTGCCGCTGCCTTTGATCACCTTGACGGAAGGACGGATGACCAGAGAGACATATATAATCTCAGCCGAAGAAAAGCCACTCATTTCAGGCTCAACTCCAGCAGAAGGACAGCAGCACAATGGCAGTCGTGCACGGAAACCTCGGGAATGGACATTTAAAACAATTCCAGCTTTTTCCAAACGCGGATATGGAGAGGAGGACGGGCATGCACACATCAGGTGAGTGTTTACGCGGGAAAGTTCACCTAGAAAATGAAGATCCTGTCGATTACGCACCCTTCGTTTGTTTTAATCCTGTTTGTTTCTTCTTTGAAACACAAATGAGGATATTTTGAAGGCTGGAAACCTGTAAGCTCAGGGAAAAGTCAAAAAACGAATTTGGTTTTCCTAGGCTACACTACAAATATTCGTAATTTAGGGATTTTTCGTAAACTGAAAAAAGTGATTCAAAGATGATTCCCTATGATTCATTCAAAATGTTTAAGTTAAATGGTTGTAAACTATTTATTTGGCCTGAATTTAAACAAATTGAGTTGAACATTGCTAAATTTAATTTGTTTGTTTAAACTCAACATACAAATAGTTTGCAACAATTTCGCAGCCATCATTTTTTCAGTGTATTTTGTGATGCTTTTTTAAAAAATCGATTTAAATTGCTTTTGCATTGTGTCACTCTTAAAAACACCTTTGCTGTCGAAAGCTATTTATTTAAAATGAACTGTCCCCCAAAAATTTAGAATTTTGTTGTTCCAACTTAATTGTTTTATATTCAATCCACTTCGATTTGTAAAAACTAATAAGTTAACTTCATTCCTTCATCTCCCAACACAAATGAACTGTGTGGAATCCAGCGTTTTATTTACAGTCTTTGGGACCTTGATATTTCTGCCAACAACTGTTAACCTTAAAATTTAATTAAAGTGACTTTTCTGAACATTTTTAATAGTTTAAAGGTATATATTGTCTGGGTTGGTGTTGTAGACTAAAATATGTTGGGTTTTTCATTATCAATTTGTGTTGACTTAGTTAACTTAGCTTTTCAAATGTAAGTGGATTGAACAAAAAACAATAAAGTTTTCCCTACAAAAAAATGAAGAATTGATGCAAACGTAATTTATTTTGAGTGTATTTTACGCTACAAAAATCAACTGGTGAGTGCTTGCATGGGCCAGTATAGGATACTGACGGTATGATATCCTTGGATAAATTCATGGTATCACGGTATTGTGAATACCGCTGTTAAATCTATCCTTTTTGAATATCTGGGCAAAAAACGAAAACTTTTTTCCCCTTTAAAAAAATACATGATATTTTGGAGCTGTAAACACGTCAGGCTAAATAATTCAAAGAAATCATTGACTTCTGCTGTCTCCATTTGTTTCAAAAACACTGATTTCTTTACTATTTAAAACGGCATCTTTTTTTTTGCTGGAGATACTGCTGTCCTATAAAAAGCAACAACAACAAAAAAAGTATTAAAAAAAATCTAACTCATACATTAGGAACGGCATTACTGAAAATTTTGCCGGTTTTAAAACCTTGACTTTTCCAAACCGTGGTATACCTTTAAAGCGGTAATCTTAAATTACGGTTATTGTAAGTTCTGTCCTTTACTCACCCTTTATTGTTTAATTTTTATTTATTTGTTTTTTCCATTTTTGTATGCTTTTTAATTAATTTACTAATTATTTTAATATTTAGCTAAGATCAAGCTCCTATAATGCAATTCAAAACCATAAATAAACGGTAAATACTTGTGAATCACAAAATACAGAAACTGTTAATCAACATATTTGTTTTTAGGATACTAGATAAGTCAATGGTTACAGATTTTCAACATCCTTCAAAATGTCTGCCTTTTGTGCTCAAAAGAAGAAACCCACAGGATTGAAATGACTTGAGGCTGAGTAGGCCTAAATACTAAGTACTAGGGCTAATAAACGATATTATATCGAATCGCGATAATAGATGTCAATAACAATAAGCTCTGGACTTTTTTTTTACTCTATAATGATCTAAGAGCCAATCACACAGCAGAACTGTGCAACAATGGGGATCTAAAAGTGTGTTGATATTAATGATGTACTGAATTTTCTGCCACTGAAAATTTATCAGCCAAAAATATGTTATGCTATTTAATGGACCCTCTAATTTTTATGGCTTCAGTCATTGTTTGGGTACTTTTATTTCAAAACGTTTATCGAAATGTGTATCGTTGTGGTTCAATGTGGAAAATAATTTACAATTTTGCATTTTTGCCTAGTAAGTGCATTTTCATTTTGGGATGAACTATACCTTTACCTGTATTTGAGAAAACCTACAGTATGGATTTAGTTGTCTAATTTAAAGCTTTACTCATTGTTTCTCTTCAGATTATGTGCTTCAGGACAGGATGAAGTTCCTGGATGGTGCCTCCAGGGCAGACAACGTCAGTTTGTTTACACACCGCAGAAAACGCACAAACTTCACGCAGCAGCAGATCGACGTGCTGGAGAAAGTTTACCTGGACACCAAATACCCTGATATTTATTTACGAGAGAAGCTTGAGGCACTCACCGGCTTGCCAGAATCGAGAATTCAGGTGAGATTTTCACTTACAATGTTTACAGAAAGCTTTTAGTTGATGTAACCTGTTGATAAAACCTTTTTATGTGCTCAAAAAATGTAAAATATCGAGAAAACCACCTTTTTTTTTTCAAGTCATGTTTTGTTGAAAAAGAGGTTCTTAACCCTTTAACTGCCCGCTCTACCACAGGGTGTCCGCGGGGTCTTAAAGTATTAAAAGTTGCTAAATCAATTTAGAGTTAAGTCCTAAATGCTGTTAGAAGGAATTAAATTTTGCATCATTTTTGATTATACAGTTGTATAATTATAGTTGTATGCTAATGTTTGAAGTTTAAGGATGCTGTGTAGTTTATGAAATCGATAAAATCCTGCTATATTTGATGTCACACTACTTTGTTTACTGCAGTAAGCAAGGCAGCACCATTATTTCTGCAGTTCTATAGGCGAAACATTCTGGATTAACACTTTATAAAATATAAGAATAATGTTTTAGTTTAGGATTAGTTCCTTACAATCAGTTTTTAGTGAATATAATTAATGTTGCCAGTTCAGACCTAAAGTGGCAATGAGGTCTTAAAATGTTTTGAAAGAGTCTTAAAAGGTATTGAATTTTACCCTCTGATTCCTGTATATACCCTGTACCAAATGGTCGACCATATTTTGACTGTTTTAAATAATGGCTTACACACAACATTGTTGGTTTACAAAACAATCAAGGAAACATAATCCTGTCGCTCTACTACACTACATTTTGGTTTTATTGTAAAAAAACAAAAAGCAGAAAACATGTTAATTGAGAATCTGAAATATTTAATGGCAAACTTCAAAACATAAAGATGATTTAGTATTCATAAATGCTTTATTTTGATTGATTTTTAATAAATTGGTCTTAATACTATGAAAATCTGAAAAACATGAAGTGTATGTATTATTTCCAGTACTTTTACCATAAACAGACAGTTGAAGTCTGAATTTTTAGCCCCCCTGAATTATTATTTTTCCCTAATTTCTGTTTAACGTAGAGAAGATTTTGTTTTCAATGCATTTCTAAACATACTATTTTTTCAAACGAAAATATAGCTTAAAGGGGCTAACAATTTTGACCATAAAATGTTGTTTAAAAAATGTAAAATTTGTTTTATTTCAGCTAGAATAAAAGCAGTAAGACTTCCTCCAGTAGAAAAAATATTCAGACATACTGTGAAAATTTCCTTGCTTTGTTAAACATCATTTGGGAATCAAAGGGGGGCTAATAATTCTGACTTCAACTGAACCTACTAATGTGATGGAAAAAAAAGATTGAGTGTGTTAACTAGCAACATCAGGAGTAAAGAAATTCAATCCAAAAAATGTTGTCTTGGTGGAGCAGTTAAAGGGTTAACAATGCATCATAAAGCTAATCAAACGTTGAGTTTTGAAGTATTTACAGTAGTAATTCACAAAATGTCTTTATGAACAAGTATTTTACCCAATATTCAGAAGAAAAATCAATCACTTTGACTTTTATGATATATTGCATGTGTTGGGCAATTGACAAAATATAAGACGTTTTCATTTTTATTTAATTAAAATGAAACGAGCCACAGATCTAACAGCTGTCAGACTTCTGAAAGAGAGTTTTTTTCTGCATAGAAACATAATTTAAGGATTACTCTGAGAACATTTTATTGGCCAGGATTTTTCTTTAATCTAGTATACTCAGACTTAAATAATATGTATGGAGGACCAGCAGAGCCGGTAAGAAATAAAAAGAGAAATCAAACTAATAACTAAATCATTAAAATGTGCATAAATAAATCAGAATTTTAATGGACAAATAGACCTATTTAAATGTGTTTTTAAATGACATTTAATAAAGCAATAAATCAATGCATTTAAAAATAGATGTATAAATAAATAGACACTTCTATATATGAGCAATTGCTTGCAAACATCAAACTTGCCATGAAAAAAATGAGGTTTTCACCAAAATATGGAATCCGTTTCTACAATCTTTTTTTTGTGTGTGTGTGTGTGTAGGCTTGTATTTTACAATACTTTAGAAATAATCAAAAATGTTTCACATCGGTCACATCCATAATGGAGAGATGTCACATCCATAACCACACTTTTTCCTCATAAATGCAAAAATGTCAAGTAAAATAAAATCAATCAGTTTTGTTCTATAGAGAGACATCATTTATTCTTTTGATTAACATTATTATTATTATTTTGGTTGTGCAGTTTGCAATTTCTACAAAGGTTGTTGTATACTGCAAACTCGCAGATGTTTTTGGTCACATCCATAACGCATGTTTATTTTCTTCATTTAAAGTACAAAACATGTTTACAGATTTTAGTGGTTATTTTTTAGTGGTCAGTTGTTCTGGAAAATATAAACAGATGTTTCAATATAAAGTTCACATAGACTTTCTCTGTGAATTTATGTTTTGTGTTTGACTGCAAATGTCACATCCATAACGCTGGAATTGCTCCAATGTTTATTTAATTCATGTTCTAAAACGCTGAATAATCAAACAATAAAAACATTTTTATAGATCATTTCAAATGCAATTAAATAGCTTTTTAAAAAGGCATTTGCCACGTGCTTTTCTCGAGTTGAAAATAAATTGAGTTAAAAATGCCATTGGACAGTCCACGCATGGGAGCTAACCAATCAACTTTCATCTCAAGTTGAGCTAAACGCGCACTGTTAAATTGATCATTTGATTCTACATTTTATTTCTAACCAGCACTCCTGGTCCTCCATAACTATGGACTATGTTCTCACACAAAGAAGCTGCTTTTTACTGACACAGGTTTGATATATTTCTCAAAATAACATTTTCAGGATCATCAGTTTCCACCAAAATAAGAAAATGTTTTCAACATTGATGATGACCCTTATTAATAACTCTGATATTTTAATAATCAAATCATATTAAATAATCTCATGAAATTTTACACCAATGAATCATTTGAAAATTCCCTTTTATTTTAGATGTGCATCATTCAAAAATATTCCACAAAACTGTATTTTAAATCCAAATAAAAGTCTTTGTAAACAGGACTTTTTCCAGAAACATTGTTTTGCTTGCGATTATTATTAATAATAATGAAATGTAAAAATCTTGACATTTGTTTCTTATGTTGCACAGGTATATTTTTGACAATAGCCAGAAATATTGACTTATCAAAATATCGACTCAGAATGTTGGATAGAGCTCATATCCCATCAAGATATTTAGTATATGTTCACATAACTGTTAACACATTTAACGGTGATCAAAATGTTAAATCCTTTAGTGTTTAATATTTATAAAAGGTATGTATAATTATATGTATGAATTGTATCATATTTGTGTCAAATTACAAAAAACGAATTACTGCTTTAGCGAGATGTTTCTAATGTAGCATCTGTAGGACAGGACAGTAAATTTGACGTTTTTCTCTCTTCTGGCTGCTGTTATCAGTCTCACAATATTTTCCCCTTTTACTGAATGTCTTGATATAAATATCATAATTTAGTTTAACTTTAATTTATAATATAATCAACTTTAAAGGTGATTTTCTTCAATATTTCGATTTTATATTTATTTTTATTTTTTTAACCTCAATCCAAATATTGTTCAATTGTTCAAACTTAACGAAACATATGTCAGTGGACTTCTTATTTATTCAGCTTTCATGTGATGTAGAAATAAAGGTTTGTAGGTTTTATGGTCCACTCTGATGGTAAAAACAAATACTAAACCATTCAAATAAGCAGCTCTGATCATTTCTGCAGCTATCTTTGTCTAAATGTTTGTGCTAAGAATGTTATAGATTTCATTCAAATGGCCTCACATTCCTAAATTAATGTCTCCATCTTCTCTTCAGGTCTGGTTCCAGAACCGAAGGGCGAAGTCTCGGCGCCAGGTGGGAATTTCAATCCCAAACAAGACGAGCGGAAACATCCTGACCCCCAACAATCTCCTTATGCACCAGTTTACCACACATCAGAACCACAGCGGCCTGGAGAACTTACAAAGAACCTCAACATTTACAGCAGACAGCTTCCATCAGCAGCTCATCAACTCTTCAGAGGAGAAAATCAGCACCATTAAAGGTGACATATACGACCCAACCACCATCCCATGCATGTTCAGCAGAACCCAGGAGAATCCCATCAAAACTGATCACCTGAGTGTGGTGGTGCCGCGCAGTTACACACAGCAGTACCCAAAGGAACACGAACAGTTCACACATTCAGCAAACCACGCTAAATCAACAATGAAGCAGTTTTTGGTGGAGTATGACAACTTCCCTCCTAACAAGACCATCGGGCCGGAGATGAAGGTGGTCATTCCTCCTCTGCCATCTCAGAGTAACTTCATGATGTCTTCATCATCCCCTAAACACATCGCCTGTTCTGTACAAAACATGTCGGTGCAGACACAACCAGAGCTTTTTGCTACTTTTTCTCCAATCAGAGCAAGCGAAGCCGTCGAGTTCTCCGATTCTGACTCTGATTGGGAAAGAGACGCCATGTCTGGTTTTAATGGCTTCATTTAGTCTTTGAGGGAGAAAAAGAACTTAGACAGATTGAAAAAAGAAAAGACAATTCTGTTATTAAGAAATCACCTTCATGTTACTCCATATCCGAGACATTTGTTCATCTTCAGGACACACATGAAGATATTTTAGATGAAATCGGAGAGCTCTCTTATCCTTCATTGACAGCAACGGTCATTTAAAATACAGAAAAGGAACCAAAAAGTTGACAAAACTTTCAGTGCATCAACTGTAATCATACAGAGTAGAGCTGAACAATATATTGTTCCAGCATCGAAATCTCAATTTGCGCATCTGCATTAGTCATAGGGTTACATTTGGAAACACTCATAGTTTGTCACAACTATTAACCATCAACTGACCAAACCATTAATTATCTGTGTTTTAGGGCCTGTGACTGTGTGAGCATTTGGTTAAAGTCAGTTTAAAGCAGGCATGTCCAAACTTGGTCCTAGAGGGTCGGTGTCCTGCAAAGTTTAGTTCCAACCCCAATCAGACACACGTGGGCTAGCTGATCAAGCTCTTACTAGGCTTTCTAGAAACATCCTTGCAGGTGTGTTGAGGCAAATTGAAGCTAAAATCTGCAGGACACCGGCCCTCCTGGACAGAGTGTAGACACCCATGGTTTAAAGTATTTGGGTATTAAAAAAAAATTTCTAACTTTAAGAATGATTAATTGTACATATGCAAAGACAAATACAGCGTTATTTTACATTTAATTATTACATTTGTGTATCTGAATATTGCTGGACTTCCAGAAAATCAAGCACTGCATTTTATTTGTACAGTATTGTTGCTTTGCTGCATTTATCAGTGTTTATACAGATGCTTTCCATTATAAAATCTTTCCAATGTATTTAAAATAATGATGTCTTTCCAAATAGACCTGTTTATTTCATATGTTGAAATTACAACATAAACAACATCTCAATATATATCGTAGAAAAACAATCATAATGTCAGTTTTTCCCCAGTATCATGCAGCCTTAACATGACGCTCCAAGAACACTTTTGAGTGGGGAAAAATATCAACTTTGTTTGCTAATGTCTCATCCATCACAGGTCAGTATGTGTTTACTAGGCAAGCATTGTAATGACCGTAGTAAATGGGCAACTCTGACCTGATGTGGAAAACATAGGAAAACAGTGTTGTTACAAAAAAAAAAAAAAAAGTGTATTTTTTTTTTTTTTTTTTTTGCTGCTCTAATGTTCACTGCATTTCATATGATTACAGTTGAACCACTGAAGTCACATGAACAATGTTTTTGGTTCCATTTCTGGACTTTGAACATCTTTGGACCATTGCTGTCTATTTAAAGAGGATGAGAGAGCTCCAGGATTTCATCTAAAATATTTGTCATTTGTGTTCTGAAGATGATCTAAACTCTCAGGAGGGTTATAACAAGATGAGGTTGCGAAATAAATAATAAAATGTTCATTTTTGGGTAAACTAAACACAAAGGCTTTTAAGAACATCTAACAACTGAAAAATAATCAGATATTTATTGTAAATTTCAGATGTTATTGTATATTGTTGCGTGTGATTATGGCACAGTTTTGAATATGGAGACATTGTACATTCATAATAAAAAAAGAAATCTATAAAACATTAATACAGACTCTGAGCCTTTCTGAAGATAATACATTTATTTACAAACGTTGTGTGTCGTGCATGCACTTACAGGTTAAAAAAACTCCCGATAAAACGAACGCATTTTAAAAACACACCAGTGGGGTTGATTTATTGTCTGCTATTGACAAGACAAACTGTTTGGGATTATGCAGCTGTCTTGAATAAACAAATCAGTTGCTTTGCAAAAATACCAAAATCTGGCATGTCAAAAAATGTCCACGTTACACTATATAGGATTGATTTATTGATATATTTTGAGTGAACTGTACAGGTATCTACAATGTACATATTTAAAACAGAACGGTTTAAAACAGACAGAACGGGACCTCTTTTCTCAGGACACTCAAAGTCAAACGCTTTAAAAAGAGAAATAAAATGATGCAAAAGGATTTCCATCAAACGAACTACACCGATACGAAGTGTCATTCAGTAAACACCCCATTTGGAAACCAGCGATGATAATAATAGAGGGGAAACTAGCGATTTGAGTGAGCAACATCTGAATTGACATTTGAACTGTTACAAGAAACTTCACACTCGACTTTCTTTTTTTGTTAGCTAGTTGAACATTTGCATCCAAGACACTTCGGTGTCTGTGTGTGGGTTTTGAACAGTGCATGTACAGATACTGAACGCACATTCTGACCTTTCGTAACGTCAAACAGGATGAACAGAAAAGAACAGGTGGAGAACTGAAGAGGCGAGTCGCTGTCTGGGAGATGTGCAAGCTTATTTCAGTCACGTTCTGTTGGTGTTGTTTGCAGAGAAAGCGTGGAGGTTTCCCAGCTGGCTCAGGCCACTCTGTATGTGTGCTACATGGATCTCTACGTTATCCTGAAAACAACTGTATGAGACAGATTATTGGACAAAGATAGTATACTTATAGGAACATCATTATGAACACAACACAGGGTTTGTATGGGTACTGGAAATCTCTGAAAATTCTCACATTTTAAAAGTTAAAAAAAGGACTTTTAACTGCAATTGTTGCCTTCTTAATTTTCATAAAATAAACAATAAATAGGTAATAATAATTTATTTGATTAATTTTCTTTTAAATAATTGCATAAAATCAAAACGCGATTCACCTAAACGTAACAAAATCTGTCTTTTTTTTTAATCTGCGGTCTTTGAAATAAAATAATGACATTGATATTTATGATGGAAGTAAATGACATTTAATAGAATAAATGACAGTAATTCAATGTTGAGCTTAGGTCAAACATGTCATTCAATTATTTTCCTTAGAATACTAATACTGTACTATAGAATACAACAATGATTATAATCTAATATAATATGAGGAAATACTTATATACAGTTACTTATATATATATATATATACTTATACTTATATACAGTCTTATATACAGAATTATTATACCCATCCTGAATTATTAGCCACCCTGTTTCTTTCTCCACTTTCTGTTTAGCGGAGAGAAGATTTTTTTCAGCACATTTCTGAACATAATAGTTTTAATAACTCATTTCTAATAACTGATTTATTTTATCTTTGCCATGATGACAGTAAATAATATTTTACTAGATATTTTTCAAGACACTTTTATATAGCTTAAAGTGACATTTAGGTTAATTAGGTTAACTAGGCAGGTCAGGGTAATTAGGCAAGTTATTGTATAACGATGGTTTGTTTTGTTGACTATCAAAAAAATATATAGCTTAAAAGGGGTTAATAATTTTGACCTTAAAATGGGTTTGAAAAAATTAAAAACTGCCTTTATTCTAGCCGAAATAAAGCAAGTAAGACTTTTTTCTCCAGAAGAAAAAATATTATCAGACATAAGGTGAAAATTTCCTTGCTCTGTTAAACATCATTTGGGAAATATTTAAAAAAGAAAAAAAATTTCTAAGGGTTTTTAATAATTCTGACTTCAAGTATGTAATTTGCCACAGTTTAAAAAAAAGTTTAACATGCAACCAAAAAAAGTGCTTAAATTTGACTTTAGAGATGGTGTAAGAACCCTGTGTTAGATGGGATCTGCAAATATGATGTAAATAAAAGCAGGAAATGAAAACAATTATTACCTGAGGTTGGAGTCATCTATTGAACTCTTAATGTCATTCAGAGAATCTGTGAGTGATTTGAATTCAAATGAATTCAGGTCTCCTCCTTCAGCCAAACACTGCATTAAATAAAGCAAGAGAGAGAAATTAAAGCAAGCAAGAAAATAGAAACAAATGAAAGAAAAATACACAGAGAAAGAGAAAGAAACAGAAAGAAAAAAATGAAAACAGAAAAACAAAAAATGCGAAAGAAATGAAAAACAAATGAAGGAAAGAGAGGAAAATAGAAATTAAGAATTAAGAATTCTACTAGGTGAAGGACCCACAGCGTATCTAGCAGCCCATTTTATATAAAACTCGGGTAAAAAGTGAAGGCATCTGCATTCTGTTAAAGAGAAATAGATTTGTAAATATTCTTATTGTTTTATGTATACTGTACATATTCCTTTATATTTTATCAAATATTATTAATATAATTAATTTCATCAATATTGTTATTACTAATATTATAATATTATTATTGACTTTTCCTCCTGCTATGTACACTTTGGCAATATTTACCCAATATGTACGTCATGCCAATAAAGTGGACTGAATTAGGAAAAAAATAAACAAATAAATATATTTAAAACAAAAAAAAAAAGACAGAAACAGAACAATGACAGACAGAGAGAGAGAAAGAACAATGAAAAGAAAGAATGATAAAACAAGGAAGATAGTTGCTGAACTGTTCTGTATCTGTCCAGAGCAGAAAGTGTTACCCTGATCTGCAGGAGCAGCGCTGTGAGGCGAGAGATGAGTTGAGTGAGTTCAGTGTTCTGGACGCGCGGCTCTCCACTCGCTAATGTGTTATTCTGACGCAGGACGTCCTGGGACTCTTCTTCACAGCGTCTCCGCAGTTCACTGGGCTGATCTGCAGGCTGCATGCCCTGATCTGGGGCCAGCTGAACACAGAATCATCCAACAACAGTGAGTGCCTTTTAAACCTCCATCATACATACAGGACTTGATCAATAAATGAGCAGGAGAAACCCATGTACCTCAAAGCAAAACTGCTGTACTTCATGAAGGACTTTGTTGAGGTCTTTATTGAGCTGTTCCAGGTCCAGTACTGTTGTGGCGTATCTCTTCTGCAAATCCAGCCCGATCGGCATGGAGTAAGACTTCTGCAGGGCAACAATGGGGGGGAAGGTTACTTGGTGTGCAATCTTTATTCGACTTATTTTGTGCACATTATGTTTGGAACAGTTCGAGTAACTGTGATGACAGAATTTAGATTTTAGGGAGAACTACTCCTTTAACACATAACATTTTTAATAGCCTCACTGTCTGCAAACAGAATATGCACACATTACATATCATCCACCCCACCCCCACGACGGGGGATTTTTAGACTAAACTCAAGCACAAACACACAAAAATGAGTATGTGGTAGGGTTGTTGTCACTCAACCCTCTGCGGCATGAATTTTTTTGTTTTAGGAGAAAAAAAAAAAAGTTACCTAGGGCTGCACAATTAATCATATTAGTATCACGACGATTATATTTGTGGCCCGCAATCAATAATTAAATATTGTCTTGATTTTACAGTATAAAGACAAAGCCGTTTTTTTAATGGGTGGAGTTTATAAACTGCAGCGCATCACAAGCATGAGGTGACTGCATCTAGATTGCAGGTGTTTTTTGTTTTTGTGGAATGCAATGTTGATCAGGCAGCCTTTGCTCCTGTTCAGTCCAAACTTCCCAAGGTAACACAACAAACCTCACTAACCACCTTAAAATCCATCAAAAAGTGTCTGTCATCAGTGGGTTATTGAGCTCAGGAGAATTCTGCTTTGTATTTTTTCTGTGCATCACTAACATTAATAAACCAGACAACATTTGTTTTATAAGTTAACCAAATATTTGTGGAGATTCAGACAGTTTTTTTTTTTAACTCATTTGCCAGTTAGGTAGACAGTAGATACTGTATCCAATTGTTTCAATGTAAAAAAAAAAAAAAAAAGTCATTGTGGCCCTGTTCAGCTGCGGGTATTCAGGTTTGTTTATATCAATATAATGCAACTTTTATTATTTACAAGAAAAGAAAATGTAATTAAAAGTTTCAGATCAATTAAAAAGACTAGCTAATTTTATGCATTAAATAATGAAATAGATACCTAATTTCCTTTATTCCCGACTACACCATGCACTTTATTCTGTTTTATAGTTTTGAAAGGTAAATATATATATATATATATATATATATATATATATATATATATATATATATATATATATATATATATATATGCTTTATAAAATAACATTCGTTTAACAAATATTTTAGCACATTGAAAGTAATTAAATTACCTTTATGCAAAGGATCAGGAATTGATTGTGTGCACGCAAAAAAAAGCAAAGGAAAAGATAAAACATATCGGGACTGTTAAAAGAACATTCTACATTAATATATCCTTTCGACTCCAATACAGAAGCTAAAATTATGAATGAAGGAGTGTAAAGCCATCTCTCCTGCGTGATTCAGCGGCGCGTCCCGCTGTTTATGAATGAGGAGGCGGAGTTAAGGCGGAGAATGAGCTGTTTAGTTTCACCTCAAGTTATTAAAATTAAAACTAACACCGCTCATCAAAAGTTAAACTAAAATGCACAACTCTTGTTGGTTGCACTCGCGGCATGCACAATGAACCTAATACATCATTCTTTTAATTCGATGTTGAAGTATGAGCCAACCGCAACTGCAGTGCCACATTTTTGTCACTGAGCTTTAGGTCAGGGCTGCCCAAACTCAGCCCAGGTGGGCCAGTATCCTGCAGAGTATAGCTCTAACCCAAATTAGACCTGAACCAGCTGCTCAAGCTCTAAGTAGTATACTAGAAACATATTAGCAGGTACTAACTAAATTCTAGAACTAAACTCTGCAGGACACCAGCCCTG